TCTCTTCTGACATCCATCTTGATCTTTTGCTCGACTGACAGACAGGTGGTAGTTGTGTACCTTAAGTGTGTACAATTTAATTTTTTACAGAATTAAGGCAAAATAAAGATATTTTAAGATGAAAGAAAATGGAGATCATAACAGCAAATGCATGTTATAAAAAATTCAAAATAAAGGTCTTTAAGCTGAGGGGTAATAATACCAGCCACAAGCTGTTATAATTGTGCTATAAGGAGCAAGGAAGAAATGGAACAGTATGGTTGCATGATTTCTGCATTTTATATGACCCCTATTCTTTATAATACAAAAGCAAGAATTCGTTCAGAAGATTTAACAATTACAAATGTATATATGTCTAATGACAGCTTCAAAATACATGAAAGTACATTTGACAGTATTAAAGTGAAAACAGATTACTTGTTGAAGATTTTAATACCCCTAGACAACTAGACCAAAAAAATCAAGAAGAATATAATATCTGGAGATATACTGTTAACCAAACTGATATTTATAGACCATCTACATGCTAAAATATATAATACACATTCATTTAAAGTGAATGTGTTACATTTCCCAAGGTAGAACATATGCTGATAGATAAAACATTATCTCCATAAATTACGGAACTAAATTCCTAAAGAGCAGTGGTCAGCAACCCTGTTTTGGTATAATTTGAAGCTAGGAATGGTTTTTACATTTATAAATGGTTTTTTTTTTTAATTGTGATATGTAAAATCCGTATGATATTTAAATTTTAGTATCTATAAACAAAGTTTTGAGATATAGCTATGCTTCGTTCGCTTACATATTGTCTATGGCTGCTTTTGCTCTACAACAACCCAGCTGAATAAACTGTACTAGAGACCAACAAACCTAAAATATTTACTGTTTGGGCCTTTACTGAAAATTTTCCCAACCACTGCCATAGATTATGTACTCTAGAAATAATTTTATACCAGAAATAAATGACAATGAGATATCTAGAAAAACTCCTAATATTTGTAAAGCAAACAAAATATTTCTAAATAGCCCATGGGTGAAATAAGTCACAAGTTAATTTAGTAATAATTTCAACATCATTATACTAAAAGTAGAACATATCAAACCCTGTGGCCTAGACCTAAAGCAGTGGTTGGAAGACAGTTTACAGGATTAAAAGTTTAGAAAAAAAATTGAAGTTTTCCAGTGAATGACCTATTGTTGCCCCAGCAGTCACAATCACAGTGTTCAGCAACCAACAAAAAAATTACTGGACATACAAAGAAGAAAGGACTTGACAGCATTTAACAACAACAACATGTGTGTGAGGAAATCCTAGAAGTGAGGAAGCAGAGAAAGTAATGGCCAAAACATCAAGAGACTTAGGATAGTTCACATCTTAAGACATACAGATGAGAAATAGTTGGGGACATTCATCATTATTAGACCTGCATTACAAGAAATCTTGACGTTCTTCAGCAAAAGTAACTTGAAGCCACATATAAACTTGAATTTATGCAATGGAATGAAAAGAGCAGAAATACGATCATCCTGTCAGGCTAAAACATCTGCATTATTTGGGGTGGAAGCAAAAATGGTGCACTTCTTAGGAACTTGGTGCAGTGTTCCGTTCAGGTAAGACGTAACACATTTGTTTACTGAGAGTTTGGGATATTTCACCTGTGAAATCTGTGAAGAGTTTCAACGTAAAATTAAGAATATTAGGACTGTGAAAGCGTTAACTCCTTTGAGGCTAGCAAAAGCTTCTTCTTGTTCTTTTTTTTTTTGCTGTACAAGACCTCTTATTTAAAAAAAAAAAAAAGAAAAAACTTTGTGAATTGAGTGATAGTTTACAGGGAGGATTATCAGCTGTACACTCCACCAATCATTTTGTTTGATTGCAATGATTATAATTCCCTTCATGCACCGTCGGTTAAAAGAATTTACCACTATCCCCACTTTTTTTTTTTGACGTACACAAACACGCAGAAAATATATCTTCATTTAAACAAACGAAGGGCACATTTTGCAAGCCAGCTGCCTCTGGTTAGGATCCCACGCTCCGTTCAGCCTCTTCCCACAATGCATCAGTTCTAGTTGTTGTCGGGAGAGTTGGTCGTCTAGTAACCTTGTTCACTGTTGCCTTATACTTCTTTTTAAATGGTAACATTTACCAAACATTTTTAAGTATGAAAAATATTTCAGAAATTCTCTTTTAGTATAACATAATTTAGAGAAATTGAATACAATGCATATGATTCATTGTATAAAATTTATATAAATTTCAAGAGCATTGTGAAAACCGAAACTATTGAAACAAGCCTTGTAACTAACATATGATAATAATAGTGTATAGAAGAATCCTTGAAAATAAATGATTATATTTAAAAATAAATTTCCGTATGACTATTCTAGTCCTTTTATAGGAGCCCTGGTGGTGCAGTGGGCAAGTGTTTGAATGCTAATCTGTAGTTCAAACCTACCAGCCTTTCTCAGGGAGAGTGGCAGTATACTTCTATAAAGATTTACATCCTTGGAAACCCTATGAGGAGTTCTATCCTATCCTGTTGCTATTAAGTGTTGTTGAATCTGTTCCAGTACGTAGCAAGCACTGTACAGAGTTTCCAAGGAGTGACTGATGGGTTTGAACCACCGACCTTGTGGTGTGGACCAGTGCTTAACATATAGCGCCACACTAGGACTTCTATAGGGTAGTAATTTGTCAGAATCTACTAGACTGCAATAGGTAGTCATGATACTCAATATTTTATATACTGGGTCTCATCTGGGTGGATCCAAGGTGGCTCTGTGTTTAAAGCATCTGTCTGCTAACCAAGGAGAAAGATACAGCGGTAAGCTTCCCTAAGGATTTATAGTCTTGGAAACTCTATAGGGCAATTCTACCCTGTTCTATAAGGTGATTGTGAGTTAGGATAGACTCAACAACAGTGGTGTGAGTCTCATCAAATCCTCACAGACCCCAGGAGATAGAGGCATGTGAGGGAGACTTTAAAATGTTGTAGAAAAATTCCATGATCTCTTAGCTCCATTTGTCCATGAACTTTTTGAAGTCCCCTCATATAATAAAACTAAGTGCAGAATGATTGGAGAGTTGTCCAAAACTACATAGCAAATAGAGAAAAAAGGTCAGATTTGATTTTAACCTCCCAGATCAGTACTTGGACTTTACCCATGTGCTTCTAATTCTTCATCTGACACCAGTTGTTTGAATGTCCTCCAACAACATTAAGTACCTTGAGAATATAGAAACTGCTCAAGTCTTTGGGCCATGAGATATAATTGAGCACATAATTGAGCATCTAACAGGTGTATATTGGCACATAATTGAGCACCTAACAGTTGTACCAGACACCATGCCAAATGCTGTAAGCATGTTATTATTTGACCTTGCAAGAATCCTGTGAGGTATGTACTATTATAATCCTTATTTTAGAGATAAGAAAACACAGAATTCATTAATCAAAATCTACTATTAAGTAAATTCTACTAGTTGGGTCTACCTTCTAATTCTTGTAGAGCCCCATCTTTTTGTCCACGTTCATTCGGCTGAACACAGGGACAGATTGGCTATCATTTAAAATTGCCAGCTCCCCTCATATGTATACTGCATGCCCATCACCCTTGTTTGTATCTTCCAAAGCATGTGCCACCTTTTGTTTAAGTAAATGATACCCACCCTGAATTTGAAAAATAGGATCATAGTAAGATACATCAGGACTCATGGTATGGCCTTGTAGGATAAGCACCAGACTGTGAACCACAAGGTCAGTGGTTCAAACCCACCAGCTGTGCTTTGGAGACCCTATGCAGGATCACTATGTGTCGGAATTGACACAATGGCACTTAACAGCAACAACAATAAAAACCAAGAGAGCTTTTTAAATGATAGAAAATAATTATTTCCTCCCGAAGTTAAAACTCTGGCTTCTTTGTGCTTAACAGAGGCTTAAAATAGAACGATCTTAAACAATAGAAGGGTATTTCTCTTTCATGTGAAAGTCCAGCCCAAACTCACTGTCATCAAGAAGATTCTGACTTCTAGCAGGCCTTTGTAGGGTTTCCAAGGTTGTCCGTCTTTACAGGAGCAGAAATCCTCCTCAGTCTCCCGTGAAGCTGTTGGTGAATTCAAACAACTAACCTTGTGGTTAGCAGCCCAACACACAACTCACCACATCACCAGAACTTCTTATGTAAAAGTCCACAACCCAAAACCAAACCATACCCTGTATATGTCGGCTTAGAACTGTGCTCCATAGGGTTTTCAATCATTGTTTTTCAAAAGTATCTCACCAGGCCTCTCTTCTGAGGCACTTCTGTGTGGATTCAAACCACCAACCTTTAGATGAGTTGCTGAGCACTCCTAAAGTCCAGAGAGTGGTAAGTTAAGACTGTCGTGGCAGCTTCATGGTTGCCTGAGATTCAAGTTGCGTCTTGATTTCTGCCTTCGTCTCTGAAACTCTGTGATGGAGTTCATCCGTCATATCTTCATTGCGTTATCAGAATGGAGATGGGAAGAAAGTGCACACTGGTTCCAAGTTGTGCATGTCATTCCACCCCCCATTCCACCGACCAGAACTTAGTCACATGGCCACATCTAGCTGCACATAATGCTGATCAGCCATTTCTAGCAGGTTCCTTTACTTAGGGGTAGAAGGGAATGGGTTTGAGCACACAAATGACGTTCTCTCACCCAGATCTTCCAAATACATATTCAAACTCTCTTTCTTAGCTAAACTTACATATAATTTGAAGTCCTGAATCTCTGGGTAATTTAGAGTTTTCTATAGAGGTGCAGATTTGGCACCTCATGATCCTCTGACCAATGACGTACAAGTTATCAGCCACCCCACATTCATATATAATGGTGGAATTAAAATGGAATAATTCATTAGACGCGCCACAGCTTCGCCAGCAACCGCACCCCTCTTGCCTGGTTTGAGGGCTCTCACCCCTTCCCCAGGAGATCACGGCAGTCGGCCTGCCTATGCTTTCCGGAAACTATGTGCCACCAAAAGGCCATTTTCAAAAATGCCGTCATGTCGGAGATGCATCAGGACCCAGTAGAGTGCGCTATGCAGGTGCTGGAGAAACGCAACATCGAGAAGGGCATCGTGATCCACATCAAGGAGGAGTTTGACGAGAAGTGCAAGCCCACCTGGCACTGCGTCGTGGGGAGAAACTTCAGTAGCTATGTGACACGTGAAACTAAGCACTTCATCTACTTCTACCTGGGTCAAGTGGCCATTCTTCTGTTCAAATCTGGTTAAAGCATGGACTATGCTAGTGGTCCCTCATACCAAGGACTGCAACCTCCATGCCAGATCCCAGAGACTGAAATCTTCAGTCCTAAGGGAACGCCTCCATCTTTGACCCTTCATTGTGTTGGTTTTGTACAGGGCCTTCTCTGTACTACTTAGTTGTGGTTATAAAACAATTAGCCAAATGGCTTACATTTATATTTCTTTTTCTATTCCATCCTTTTACCCTGCCACATTTTTTCTTTCCTCACAATTTATTCCTTTTGAAACAAATAATAATCTGTTGGAGATGAAAAACAAAATGAAATAACTCTAATGAAAACCATCATTTTATAAAGGAGTGTCAAATAAAAAAATCTGGACCTATATACCAAAACGCACACCTACTACCACTGAGTCCATTCCAAATCATAGCCCCTTATAGACCGGAATTGAACTGCTCCTTAGAGATTCCAAGACTGTCTTTTCAGGAATGTGGATCCTAATCTTTTGCCCATCGGGCAGCTGGAAGGTTTGAATCACTGCCCAACACTAACCCCCTGCACCACCAGGGGTCCTTGACCTATATTGTTGTTAAGTGGTGTCCAGTTGGTTCTGATTCAGAGTGAACCTGTAGAGGGTTTCTGAGGGTTCTAGTGGGTTTGAACTGCTGCCCTTATAGTTTGCAGTTCAGTGCTTATCCTATAGCGCCCCACAAGGCCTCCTTGTTCTATACAGGATAGACTTTATTCAGAAAGAATCAAGGGGAAAGGAAGTTTTACAGTAGAGAGGGAGGTCTGTTGCAATGAGAGAATACTTTGACCATAAGATTAGCAAGCGTATCTAGAGTTGGACAAAATGGATTTTTCTTTTAAAAAGGCAAGTAAACAAGGCTGGAAAGAGCCTGGTGTGGATAAAAGGGTGGCTTGGTCAAATAGCAAATTAGAGAAGGCTTTTCGCTGAGGTTAGCCTATTCATTGGGAGGGACCCTTAAGGAGGGGTTGTACTTGTATGTTGGGCCAAACTCCAGGGGTTTGAGGACTTAACCCAGGAGAAAAACAGAACCAAAGTTTGATTAACAAGCATTTTGTTTCTGATTGATCAGTGGAGACAAGTAGTTCAGTTAATAATTTATGAGGCAAAGAATGGGAATTTGAAGGGTCTCTGTCTGGCCTTGTCATAGGCAAACAAGGGGGCATCGTGAGTCTTATGTAAGCCATATGAGGAAAGGTGGTATTTGCAGTAAGCTGTTTTCCAGAACACAAACGGGGAGGGACAGATTTCTTTAACTCTTGCTGGTCTCCAGGACCACAGAATTCAGGTAAAATTCAGCATCACTGGGGGAAGCAGGAAACATAAACTACTAGTGGCTTGTCCAGAACAACTACATTCTCCTTTAGCAAAATGTGTGAAACCTCTCTGCTCTGAAATCCCTTAGTAAATTCCTTCACTAACTCTTCTTGTCAAGCTATTGACCTCCATGGCCCCTGTCTCTGCCAGATGGGATGTTCCTCCTTAGCCATTATCTCCCAAGGCACAGGTGAGATAATTACTGCACAGTATGTCATTCTTAGGGACACAAAGCTGTCTAGTCCATGTCCTGTTTAGACTTGGGGATCTAGAGGTTCCTTCAGGATTTGAATAGGCATCTGCAGACCAGGCTTATAATTTCTTTGATAATAAACCACCAACCACTGCCATCAAGTCAATTCTGACTCATGGCAACGCTATAGGATAGAGTGGAACTGTTCCTTAGGGTATCTAAGAGACCAGACAGCCTCGAGTTTCTCCTGAGGTGGCTGTTGAGTTTGAACAGCCAACTTTATACTTAGTAGCCCAGTGCTTAACCCACAGCACCACCAGGGCTCATTTCTTTGATTATACAAGTCACTTACAAGTTTAATAGGCTCTAGCGCTTTCTCTGTTCTCCTGAGTTCTATATGCAAGTAACCTTAGCTGAAGATATAATATCAACAGTGTTTAAATCTCAAGATTTTTCTTACTGCCCTCTACTCTCAGCCTACCACCTTCCCCTGCAGTTTAACGGCAGTGATCTTGAGGCCATCTGAAACAATCGTTTGGGACAGCGGTGTGCTTAATCTGATGTTCCTCAGTGTCTGGCAAAGATATGAGTAAAAACTCGGGATTTAGCCTTACCCCATTTAGAATTATACCTTAACAACCATCTGCTACCGCTGTTTTCAGTTTGGGTTACAGAAGCCGTTGGCTTTTAAAACATAATCAATGCCTGTGGTCTAAAACTCAGTAATTAATGGTGTATGCAAAAATTGTTTCCACACTTGCCCTAATGTGTCCCTCTTCTACTCAACCCTTACAAGTAACCAATTTTGTAAAGTTTATTCTTTATCTCCTGTTATATATTTATGCAGATGTAAACTGATTCCAACCAGTATTTTTATTTTCGGTCAGTGTTTATTCTTTTCCATTTTGCTTCCTTCTCTTCATAATCTATTTTGGACTTCTTTCCACGTCAGAACACAGCACTTCCTCACTCATTTCTTAAAGCTGCATAGGATTCTATTTGAGGCATGCCCTGTGGTCTATTTAATCCTATTTATCAACAGTTGGGTTGTTTCTAATCTTTTACTGATGCAAGTAATGCTCCAATGAACAACCTTATGTGTATGTTGTTTTACCCAGTCCTAGTAAATTCCAAGAATTTGGTTGGGTCAAATGATGTGTATTTGTAATTTTAATAGATATTGCCAAATGGCTCTGCATAGGCATTTGCACTCCTTATTTCCCAATGGTGTATGCAGTTAACTTTGCACTTTAGCCTAAGAGATGACAGCTGGTGGTTCAGTGTTACTTTAACTACATTTACGATAGGTGAGGTGGAGCCTCTTGTATTTCTTTTTCTGTCAGCAGTTTTTATTTATTTTTCCTACAATTTTTCTTTGAAGTTGTGATCTTTTTGGTATAATTTTCCTTTTATGGTATTTTATATAATAAGAATATTATTAAGAAATAATATCCTTTGTCTGACATCTGAGTGACAAATATTCATTCCCAGCTTGTTACTTGTCTTGAGATTCTTCTCCTGGTGAATTCTGTCCATGAGTAAAGTTTTTGGTTTTTTAAATTTTTTTCACATAGTTGATTTTATTAGCCTTTTATGTTTTTTTTGGATGTTGACTCTTACTTCCATTTTTCCATATTTCAAGATATAAAAAATGAATTATTGTAGTAGGTCTGAGATTGTTGTTGTTGTTAAGTGCCGTTGAGTCTGAGATAGTGATCCTTAAAAAGACCAGCTTGCAAAGTTGACCCTTGGATGGCATTTGAGAACTTGGCTGATAAACAATTTCTGGTATAAAACTTTCCTTAAATTAGAAGAATGGCTTACTATGCCCAAACTAGATAGGCAAAGTAATTTCTGCTGAGCACCTGCTTCCCTTCTGGGATTCTGGAATTTGGATATGTACGAGGCAGAGTGTACCTATCTGACCAGTCCCAACAATCTTGGGTACTGAGTCTCTCATGAGTTTCTCTGGTAGACAGCTCTTCCCATGTGTTGTCACAGATAATTGATGGAGGTATTCAGCCCATCATGTATGACAGCCCTGGGAGGGCACTCTTGGAAGCTTGTTTTGCATGGACCTCACCCCTTTGTTGATTTGACTTTGTATCTTTCAATGTAACAAATCATAGCTATGAGTGTGAGTGTATGCTCAGTCCTTTGAATTCTTCTGGCAAATCGTTGAACCTAGCAGTGAACACAAAGGTTATCATGGAATTCACCTATGTTTTCTTTAAGAATTCTAATCGTGTCTGTTTTTAGGTATTGGGATAAGATTACATTCATAAATTAGAATTCATTACTTTATTATGTTGTCTATCTAACCTAGAATATGTTTTAAAGTTTTCCTCATCTGGGTTTTTTATATTTCTTAAAGTTATTCATAGTTATTTCATCCTTTTATTTCTATTATGACTTGTGCTTCTTCTTCCTTTATATCTTCTAATTATCGTTAGCAAGAAAGCTAGTGATTTCTATATACTGACATCCCCTCTTCACTGTCTTACAGAATTATCTTACTATTGATAAGAGTTTTTCATTTGATTGTCTTAGGTTTTTAAGGCATATCATCTATAAAGAGTAATAGTTTTATTTAACCTCTTTCTAATTCTTATGCCTTTTGTTTCTATATCTTACATAGTTACATTGTTGGGCCCTTCAGTAAGCTATTATGTAATAGTGGCAACAGTAGATAGATGTTCTTTTCTTATTTTTACTATAGTGGGAAGTCTTTAATATTTACATCAGTAAACTTGATGCTGACTTATGGCTGGGATCGATACATTTTATCATGTTGAGAAATGTACATTTATTTCTACTTTATTGAAGGGTTCTTTTCCCCCCAGTGTTCGAATTTCCATTTTTAAATTTATGTATCTCTGCTGAAACTTACCATTTCCGTTAAGATTTTCATACATTGAAAACATTTTTGCTTTATTTCACTGAGGATAGCTATAGTTCCAGATGAAAACATGGTTTTCTGGTAATGTCATTATCTTATTTATCTATGGTTCGTACTCATTTGGTTTTCGTTTCTCTTGAGATTGTGTTCCATTATTCTTATTTGTTCTTGGTTTGCTAGACAGTTTTAGATTGTGTCTTTGACATTATGAATGTTAAATTATAGAGATTCTAGATTCTATTGTTTTTCTCTGATGAGCCTGCTTTCCTTTGTTTGTTAAGCCATTTTTTTTCTGGAGGTCAACTACAGACTCTGTGTGTCAGATGGCAGGTCCTATCTCTGTCCAGATGTATCAGTTTTATCTGGGATGTTTCAAAATCTGTTCCAAGCATTCCTGGTTTAGGAGTCAGATACTTAAGTAGACAAAAATTGGGGCTTCCTTCTTTGACTCTCCTATATAGAATTCTCCCGCTTTTTCAGGGTCTATGGCCTCCTAGTTTCTTATTTCTTAGTTCCCAGGTCAGTTGTTCTTCCATACATGTGCATGCGCACATGTGTACATACACACACACACACTCTGCTTATACT